GGGTGTGTGTGTGTGTGTGTGTGTGTGTGTGTGTGTGTGTGTGTGTGTGTGTGTGTGTGTGTGTGTGTGTGCGTGCGTGCGTGCGTGCGTGCGTGCGTGCGTGCGTGCGTGCGTGCGTGCGTGCGTGCGTGCGTGCGTGCGTGAGGAGGGCTCGACCTCCCACAGTAGGTGAGGGAGGAACAGATGAAGTCTCTCTGGTGGAGTTTGAGTTATCGGGTTGCCCTGCAGGGAGAGCGATAAGGATCAGCTAAAGCAAGGCCAGATTTGCTGAGTGCATGGAAGGGTGTGTGTGTGTGCGAGAGAGAGAGAGGATTGGAAAAGAGCAGGAGAAATGAAAAACAGGAGATCAACTTTTAGGAGATTTCAGGGAGTTTCAGAGCCCCTAAAACTGTAAAATTAAGCTTTTCTTGGGGTATGAAATACAAAAAGCTCTCAGCAGCTAATTGTTATTTCATATATGCCACGCCCACACACAGACACACACATTAGACAAATTAAATCATCAGAGTACTAGGGTTGATATTAGAAGCCTTTTTGATATAAGGGACTCAATGTATGATCACTTGAGCAGCATTTCATTTGGATTTATTAAACAACTACTCCTCGGAAAACGATTTCTGTTGATTCATCAGAGGGTCATGTTACGTAAAAAAAGTCCCTTCCTCTTTGTAGAAAAACCTCAAGATGCCGGGTTTAAGCTCCTGAGAGGAAACAAACTCACGAGACGCCTGCAGATCAGTTTCATCTGTCGTTGTTTAGTCCAAAGTTACAGATTCTGCTTCAAGCTTTGAGTTCATTCACAGACTTACATCCACGCTGAGAGCAAACCGTCGTCCCACTCAGAAACACGTTTTCCTACAAAGTTGAATTACATGCAGACCATCTGGGATTTTCACATAGCTTCCACTAATTCACCTTCAATTTGCCTCGTTTCCATTCAAAACACATCTCCAGACTGACTGTATGGTGGAGTTTAACAAGATACAAGAGCTCCTGTCATAATTACTTTAATCCTTGATGGGAAACTAGAGCGCTGCAAAATATTCAGTTGTCCAGGATTTCTATTCAAAGGATTAAAATCTAATATCTCTCTCTCCGAATTACTCACAATAATCTGGTGTAAAAAGCCTATGGCGTTATTCATCTGTACTCAAATTAAAAACATATAGTGAGGATAAAGACCAAGCAATAGCAGATCTTAATCAAAGTTTATATTTCTGTGTAGGCATACATCACCTATATTGATTATTGCCTTTAGAGATATTGTGAATATATTACTTTTGCTTTTAATTTGGCTAAATGTATTTATTTATTTCTTACTTTTTACTGAAGTCATGCTGTTGGGATAAAACCTCCAGAGTAGCAATGCTCTGCTCAACTATTATTTTATGTTTTAGTGATTTATAAGATGTCCCATCAATTACATATTGGAATTATTATTATTATATACATTTGTTTTGCTTATTCCAGTTTGCATGTCCAACGAGACTTAGTAACAGTGAAGATCAGGTTAATTTGATGAAAGATTAAAAAAGCAACAAGTTTGAACAGTATTTCTTTGATAAGATAAGAAATATCAGCTCAGTTCCCTTTTCTTGTTATTTTCTTGCTGGGGTATTTAATAGCATTTTTATATTTTAACGAAATAACCGTTGGAAAAATGCAGTCATTTTTCTTTTTGTCTTTGCTCAGTCAGCAACTTAATATGCCTCTTAGGTCATCAGAAAATGATAACCCCTCAGTAAGGACTTTTTTGTGGGGCCCAACTTATTTTAGACCCCGGTTCTTCCTGTGGAAAAAGGAAGTGAAGTTTCTGAGTTTCTGTCAAGGTTCTAAGTTCCTGAAAACTTTTTTGTGAAATTGTTATATTCTTATACTTCGAAATGTGATAGGGACCAGCCTGTAGGACGGATACACTCAAACATTAAAAGCCACACTTTGAATTGACGTTTTGTTTATTGGTGTTTAGTTTCTCCCGCTGAAGACATATACAAATGTTTTGCCCCCTAACAAAAAACGAAATCAATCAATTATAAAGCAAGCAAAATACCAGGTAAAAACATACACATAATATACAGAGATATACAAATACAAGTAATTAATAATATATATACAGGGTGTCCGCGGGGTCTTAAAAAGTATTAAAAGTTGATAAATCAATTTAGCGAAAATGAAGGCTATTAAAAAGTATTAAACAGCATTTTCCAAGGTGTTACGTTTTGTAGCTTGTTTTCAATAAGTATATAAATGGTCCAAAGAGGTTGTATTCTACAGTCTGCCTGAATGTAATCATTGCGTAGGTGTGTAGTGTGATTCTGTGTACTTTATTTATGGCATCCCGTTGGGTTTGACGTCATCTGAACAGGACATCGCACGCTCACTGCTTGATAGCGCGCGAANNNNCGTTTACGCCGGTTGCTAAGCAACATCGTTATGGGGAAATGCAAGTTTGCGTCCAAATGGTTGGAAGATAAGGAGGAAGGACAATCAATACTGTATATAGTCAATGTGAGGTAAAGTGTGTCGCCAAGGTAACCGGTTAGAACTCAAAGTGGCGATGAGGTCTTCAAATGTATGGAAAGGGTCCAAAGATCCAAAAATACTTAAAGTTCCAAAAATACTTAAAGTTCCAAAAATACTGTAAATTCCAAAAATACTTAAAGTTCCAAAAATACTTAAAGATCCCAAAATACTTAAAGTTCCAAAAATACTGTAAATTCCAAAAATACATAAAGATCCAAAAATACTTAAAGTTCCAAAAATACCGCAAATGGTTGGAAGATAAGGAGGAAGGAAAATCAATACTGTGTATAGTCAATGTGAGGTAAAGTGTGTCGCCAAGGTAACCGGTTAGAACTCAAAGTGGCGATGAGGTCTTNATGTATGGAAAGGGTCATAAAAGGGTCTTTAAAGGTATTTGACTTCAGGATTCCTGCATATAGCCTGATATAGATAGATATAAAGAGAGCTAAAAACAACATAGAGCACAGAGTTTTGGAAACATCACATTTATTTATTAATTTATAGATTAATGTGTCAATTGTGTTTGACTGAAGAGATGCACGATCAATGTAACAGACATTCCTGTTTGGGTAACTTGTGTGCTTTTATTCTATGTTTTTATTGTGTATTGTGTTTTTAGCACTTCTTAACACGTGGCTTGCGTGGTGGTCATTTATTCTTTTATGATTCATATGATGTTTTAATGTTTTGTCAAGCCCTTTGTGACTGTCTATGAAAAGCTTTATAAATACATTTTACTTACTTACATTGCATTGTGTTTCAGTGCAAAAAAAGCTAAATTTAACAAAATGTCCTCCATCTTATCCAAATATTCCTACAAACATAATAAATAGTCACAAAGATGCAGCCGTTAGACTTTATTACAGTAAACCAGGTAAAAACATACACATGATATACAGGGATATACAAATATAAGTAATTAATAGATAAATGTGTCCATTTTGTTTGACTGAAGAGTTGCACAGGGAATAAAATGAATTTTGTTTCTGTGCAAAAAAAGCAAAATGTCCTCCATCTTATTCTTATTCTTCATTCGGATCCCCATTAGCATGAGCATTGGCTATTCTTTTTGGGGTCCTCACACACACAAAACATACATAAAACAAAGCAATACAGCTCATAATGTTATGCAACTTACAGTGCTATTGTGAAATGAAAACTAAAATGGTCATCCGATTTTCATCTTATCCAGATATTACCACCACAGCGCCCCCCACCACTCCCGGCGCCTCCACCCTCCCCATGACCACGTTTGGAGCGACCACCACCGCCCCCCCCACAGCCCCCGGCACCACCGCGGGGTCCGACTGTGAGGACGGACACGACTGTGGCGCAGAGACCGAGGATCCAGAAGACTACGACGCCATGACGGGTAAAAAACTAAGCTATGTTCCTAACTCTGAGTCTCAACCAAACCTAACCCAAGGTCAAAGATATCAAGTGTTCTGTTTAAACTACATCAAAATTCAAATTAAAAAAATATAATGTTTCTATAGGTATTGCAAAAATATCATAATTATAAGATGTAGTCGTCAACTTCAATAAAAATAAAATTAAAATTGCAATTTACTATAAATATTGTGAGAATATCTTAGTTGTGAATACGTTAGGCGAGGATAAAGGAATAGTGAAAATGTAATATTGTGACAGATTGCAGCGCAACCCGATATGAACGCCTGCTAACCTGAGTGTGTGTGTCGAGTGTGTGTTGGCATCTGTGAGGGCGGGACGAACCTCGTGACCTTTGACCCCTCTCTGACTGTTCCATCTGTTTGTAGCAGGAGGAGCCACGGCGGTCGAACCCATCCTCGACTTCATACCAGGTGAGCCACAATCTGCCGCCATGTTTACCTTCCTCCTCTCATCTTTCATCATCATCGTTACATCAGATTTACTTCACTGATCACAATTTGGGAAACAGTTCTAGCACAGCAGCAAGTAAACAAGGCGTGGCACGTTATATTAAAGAGGAAATACTATTCTAATGTTCAGGTGTATATCAGTATGTAGTGTCTCTACTTTAAAGAGTCCTCTCCTGCTGATGTTCAGGTGTATATCAGTATGTAGTGTCTCTACTTTAAAGAGTCCTCTCCTGCTGATGTTCAGGTGTATATCAGTATGTAGTGTCTCTACTTTAAAGAGTCCTCTCCTGCTGATGTTCAGGTGTATATCAGTATGTAGTGTCTCTACTTTAAAGAGTCCTCTCCTGCTGATGTTCAGGTGTATATCAGTATGTAGTGTCTCTACTAATTACACATTTTTTAATCATATTTTATTATATTTCTTCTTAATATTTAGGTTTCTTGCTTTTTAAAGTATTATTTTACTGAATTTTGTTTGCCAGGTTTTTGTTTCCTGTAAATGTATTTTTCTTGAATTGTTTTTTATTACATTATTACATTTAGGTTAGTGAATATTTCTCAGTCTAGTATTCTTTTTATATTTGACTGATATTCTTTTATCCTATATAACATGTATACTCTATTTTAATGAGTGAGGCACAATCTCTGTTATTCTCTTACAGATTTTTAATAATAATACAAATCTTTATTTTGTCACAGCAAGCACAACGACATTTGACATCTGCATTTAACCCACCCTAGAACTAACAGCAGTGGGCATGTATCGTACAGTTAGCAGGGAGCGCTGGTGGCTTTGGTTTCTTGCTCAAGGGCACCTCGGCAGTGACCAGGAGGTGAGCTGGTCGGGACGTGAACCAGCGACCCTTCGGTTCACAGACGCAGTTCCTTCAGACTGAGCCACTGCCTGCCTTTACAATGTCTTCTTCCATCCTGTATGAGTGTACAGGATTTATATACAGATCTTTACTGTGAACATGGCGTCCTCCTAAAGAGAGAGCACCTGCAGGGAGTTGCCTTATGAAGGAGAACAGAGAAACCATGAAACTCTTTCCTGTACGAGGCGTCTCCACATCAGCAGGACTTCTGAAGCATGTCCACTGCAGAGCCTCTGCTGACCCAGGGTCAGTTCTTCCTCTGAGTCCACCCTCTGCAGCTACACATGCATTT